TTGCTCAGGCCAGGCCGGCTTGCTGGAAAAGCCAACTTTTTAGGGCACGTCAGAAGGACCGGAGGTCAGGGATTATACAAAGCTCCAGGGGCAGCTCATTCCAGAGGGAAGGCGCTCCCACAGAGAGTTCTGCCTTCTTCTTTGTTCTGGCCCAATCCAGGTTTTGGAGCACAATTCCCGGAATGCCACACAAAAACAAAATGCAGTCTGAAAAAGTTTGGGTGTGTTTGTTGTAAATGGTGAAGACTAGAGAACCAAACAGACTAAAGAAAAAGCCAACCACATTTCCGTGAAAAATGCCTAGCAACTCCAATGTAAAAACATGACAAACAGTTTTACAAGGACTTCCACACTGCAATTTAACTATATAGCAAAATCCTTTTATAGCTTTATTTCTTAGAAAACTGGAAGTACTATAAATTCAGCTATTTCTATGGAACTATTTGTTCAGTCACTATTGGTTGCATGCTCAGCAAGAGCAGAAGGCTTAGTTGAGAGCTGTCCAGAAAATTACAATTGCTAGAAAATGTATTTGCAGTGAGAACGGGCTGCTCTCCAGGTTTCATCTCTTAAGTACCAGCATTATACAATATTCCCACTCAGGTGGATTTGGCCTCAGAGCAAAGAATGTCCTTCTTCTGTCAGTTCACTGTGATACATTGCTATTCTCTAGTATGTTGTGAACTAATTATGAAACACCAACCAGATCTGCTTTAGAATCCTAGTATAAATGGGGCCATTATAGTGTGTTAGAGAAAGCCCGGTTAGTTCTAAAGAGTTTTAAAGAGCCCCTGTAAAAATGAAGATACAATGAATAAGACGCAAGTAAAATTTTGCAGCAGATAAGATCCTTCCACATTGCAACTAACACCAGAACCCCAGGCTTATAGACTGACTTACAAAATACTAAACGTTTACAAGGACCTTCAACAGATTCAAGCTATGGTGCTGGGTCACACCAGGAAAATCAGAAAAACACTTCTGCCAAATATGTTTCTGTGATGTGTTACCCCTTTCATTTTCTGCTTGCACAGGTATGTCCGTATTCGGTTAGTTACTTTGACTAATGGAATTTACAAAGGTTACCAAATTTCCCTTTATACAAACAGACGATAACAATATGTATGTGGTAAGGAAGGACACTTATCAATGTAAAATAGATCCAAAAGAATTAACTTCATCTAAAGTTCAGCTCTGCAACTTCAGCTAAACATTAAGAAAGGAAAGATGAGAATACTTGTTGGCAGGTCTGTGCCCAGAGGAAGTATCCATACTGAAGCATTACAGCAAGCATATCAAATAGTATTAATGCTACAGGAACAATGTCTATATTAGTTCCATATGCTAGCTTGCTCATCCCACAGAGATTCTAAATTTAGCTCTCTCATTTTTATAGATGCTGTATGTTCACCTTAGAAAATACTTTTGTCGTGTAGCTTATAGACAAATACAAGCTTTTGAATATAGACAAATATAGACAAATTTTGACTTCAACAATAAAGTACTTGTTTACTAAAAGAGACCAACTACATTTTGACCAGAATTCAAGAAAATGTCTTGATGAGGCTAAGGAGCAGATTGAGGTATCTTTTTGCAAGATATAGCAGAAGAAAAATAATGCATTGCTAATAAAGAAGAATATTTGTAGCTCAGGGTTGACATGAGGAGTGCTTGCTGCTCTCTGAGCTTGCTTGTTTTCTTGCAGGTGTTGCACTGATGATGTTACCTAGTTTGGGTAATTAAATGTCTGCAAGTAAATAAGCAAGCTCAAAAATGGTGCATTGTTTATACAGATTATATAATATTAAATAATAGAATATACTTAACTAGTAGTCATGCCAGCCACATGACCACGGAGATGTCTTTGGACAGTGCTGGCTCTTCGCCTTTGAAACGGAGATGAGCACTGCCCCCTAGAGTCGGGAACGACTAGCACATATGTGCGAGAGGAAACTTTACCAATACCTTTTACTTAACTAGGGATGTTAGTCAATTAAGCATGAACTGCTTCTAACAATATTTCCAAGCTACACAGATTTCTCACAAAAAAGAACCCC